CAGTTAAATATCGCACATTGCACACAGCGTCTCATACATCTGACACTACATTTGTCTGGTTCACAGTCTCCCTGCCCAAGCTGCTGGACTTGGACTGGCGTGTGGATGTGAAAACCTCATCAGACTCTATTGCCCGCATGTCGGTACCTACGTGTATTCTCAACCTCCAGGTAAGCCCATTTCTCAACCTCCAGGTAAGCCCATTTCTCAACCTCCAGGTAAGCCCATTTCTCAACCTCCAGGTAAGCCCATTTCTCAACCTCCAGGTAAGCCCATTTCTCAACCTCCAGGTAAGCCCATTTCTCAACCTCCAGGTAAGCCCATTTCTCAACCTCCAGGTAAGCCCATTTCTCAACTCCAGGTAAGCCCATTTCTCAACCTCCAGGTAAGCCCATTTCTCAACCTCCAGGTAAGCCCATTTCTCAACCTCCAGGTAAGCCCATTTCTCAACCTCCGGGTAAGCCCATTTCTCAACCTCCAGGTAAGCCCATTTCTCAACCTCCAGGTAAGCCCATTTCTCAACCTCCAGGTAAGCCCATTTCTCAACCTCCAGGTAAGCTCATTTCTCAACCTCCAGGTAAGCCCATTTCTCAACCTCCAGGTAAGCCCATTTCTCAATTCGGTCAGTGCCTGCCCTTAATGTTGATTTGCCTTATATACAGTGGTGTTTCGAAATTCGAACGTTTTGAACCTCGAACAGCTTGGATTCCGAACACATTGTTCAAGTACATTTTGTCTCGGGAATCGAAGGCCACCATGGAAACCAAACGTCTGGCACGTGCCCGATCACGCCCCTTCACCAGCAGCAGAAGGAAGAAAACGTCTCTGAAATCAGGAAAAAAAAAAAGGGGGGGGGGGGAGGGGTTGTGGTGTTCGGACACCTTGAGTTTCTCAACAGCTCGATTTAAAAAAAAAAACTGGGGGAGAAAGGGGGGGGGGGGGGGACTGATCGCATTTCATTGTCCTCGAACATTTACAAGGAGACTTATACCCCACCCCCTCCCCTTCCCTCTCCAACCCCCACCCCTTCCCTCTCCAACCCCACCCCTTTCCTCTCCAACTATATATTCAAAACCAGTTAGCCATGTATAAAACACACACACACATACGCACACACACACACACGCACACACACACACACATGCACGCACGCACACACACGCACACACACACACACACACACGCACACATTCACCAACCACGTCTAGACGTCCATTTTAAGAACAGTACTTGTTTATACATTCCATTTTATGTAAAATACAAGATATTTGTTTGTTTGCCGTTCAGCACATAATAATTCTAACTATTTATTATTATAATTGCTTGGCGCACTTAAAGGCTTGGGGACCTCGCCCCTCCCCCCTCAGCGCAAAAAAAAAATGTATTATAATGGAACTTGAGCCAACGATGGTTTCTTCGTTGCCGCGCTCCTGCGTGCGACTAGGTCGGGTCGCCTCAGCCTTCAGTCTGACCTGTGTAATCAACAACAGTTGTGTGTGTAATTTAAATAACAAACGGTTGTCTTTCTCCGGGCGGGGCGGGAAGTTGCGGCTGTAATTGACCTACTACTTGATGTGTAGACTTCTAGGCCTCCCCCCCCCCCCCCCCCCCACTAATCAAGAGCGAGTTTCCTGCCCTGCCGTCAGTGTGTCAGCTGTGAATATGTGTTTTGTGTGAGTTGTGTATTTTCAGACGAATGTGTGTATTTGTAGGCTTTTGTTTTAGTGTGCCTGATAATTGTTGCTAGTTTATTATTGGCTGTGCGTCTTGTGTGTTTCCTTCAAAGGTGCACCTGCCCGAGAGGCAAGGAATCAACACTTTGCATACAAACAGGCCAGATCTGTTAAACGGATCTGCACGCTAAATTCAAGTTCTGGAACAAGACTAAAGTCCAGAATTGGACGCACAATCAGAACTGCACCCCCCCCCCACCCCTTTCTTTACCTAGCCGGTGGACGAAAAGATGAAGAAGAAGAAGAAGAAGAAGAAGAAGAAGAAGAAGATTATCACCTGAGATTGCAGCCTGAAAGATTGTCAACCAATGACTCAAAGAATCATTCTTTTGATACGAATGCAACAGGCTTGAATGCCAGATACACCGTTCTACCTTATGAAACAGTAATAGGGAACCTATGGCTTACGAAAAAAAAAAAAACACCTACTGTTCTATTTTGGTTATGCTTTGTAACTTTTGGCGGGAAAAAAATAATGAAAAAAAAAGTGATCCATCCACAGAACAGAAGGAGTGTTTATTCAGTCAGAGCAGGAATTAACTGAAAATTCACTGTATGAAATTATAGCATATATTTTATACCTGAATGATAACTCGGCAGGGTTAGAGAAATAGCACAGATTCAAAGGGCTGTTCATTTAGGCCATGAGTTTGCGCAGACGTGTTTGTCATCTCACGTCTTTTTGGGTGTCTGCAGTGATTCATTGTCGTGTCATTGTCGTTTGCTTTCGTTGAATGCGGTGTCAGATCTTTAGACTGCAGTTAGAGAAAACTGTGTGTGTACCTTACCAAGAGCGCAGACAAAACGACAACATTAGGTTAGACAAATTGAAAAAAAAAGGGGGGAGGGGCTCAGCCTATTTATAATTCTATAGATGGTGGGGAGGCTTAAGACCGTCATGGGGTTGAGCTTTGTTTAAGTGTCCAGTAGTAACAATTATTATTATTATTATTACATGCTGAACGGCAGATACAAATAATTATATGTTAGAAAGAATATGAAATGTATGATACTCAAAACGATACTGTGTTACACATTACAGGGACCATTTTAAAAAGTTCTCAGCGATGAAGAAAAATAAAGAGGGGGTGGGGAGGGGGTGGGGGGAGGGGTGGGTGGGAACAGACCCCTCTAAAAATGTGTGTTGGTGGTTGGGTAGTCCTCAAGGGATCTGTGCGCCAGAGTTGTCAGGACTCAGTACTATGGGTCGTGTGGGCAGGGAGCATAGACAGTTGAACACATGATGCCGACATGCTGTCTACATACGAAAGAACCCAAGTCTGACCAGTTAGCGTTCGGATGGAAACCAGGCTGTATGGATCAGTAGAGGAAATAGCTCGCATCACAGGTTTCACTGTATGGATCAGTAAAGGACATACGTCGCATCACGGGTTTTACTGTACGGATCAATGAAGGACATACGTCGCATCACAGGTTTCATGTACGGATCAGTAAAGGACATAGATCGCATCACAGGTTTCACTGTATGGATCAGTGAAGGACATACGTCGCATTACAGATTTCACTGTACAGATCAGTAAAGGACATACGTCGCATCACAGGTTTCACTGTACGGATCAGTGAAGGACATACGTCCTATCACAGGTTTCACTGTACGGATCAGTGAAGGACATACGTCGCATCACAGGTTTCACTGTACGGATCAGTGAAGGACATACGTCCTATCACAGGTTTCACTGTACGGATCAGTGAAGGACATACGTCGCATCACAGGTTTCACTGTACGGATCAGTAAAGGACATACGTCGCATCACAGGTTTCACTGTATGGATCAGTAAAGGACATGTTTCACTGTACGGATCAGTGAAGGACATACGTCGCATCACAGGTTTCACTGTATGAATCAGTAAAGGACATACGTCGCATCACAGGTTTCACTGTATGAATCAGGTAAGGACATACGTCGCATCAGTTTTCATGTACGGATCAGTAAAGGACGTACGTCGCATCACAGGTTTCACTCTACGAATCAGTGAAGGGCATACGTCGAATCACAGGTTTCACTGTACTGATCAGTGACGGACATACGTCGCATCACAGGTTTCACTGTACGGATCAGTAAAGGACATGCGACGCATTACAGGTTTTACTGTACGGATCAGTGGAGAACATACGTCACAGGTTTCACTGTACGGATCAGTGAAGGACATACGTCGCATCACAGGTTTCAGTGTACGGATCAGTGAAGGACATACGTCGCATCACAGGTTTCACTGTACGGATCAGTGAAGGACATACGTCGCATCACAGGTTTCAATGTACGGATAGGTGGAAAACATACGTCGCATCACATGTTTCACTGTTCGGATCAGTAAAGGACATACGTCGCATCACAGGTTTCAGTGTACGGATCAGTGAAGGACATACGTCGCATCACAGCTTTCAATGTACGCATAGGTGGAGAACATATGTCGCATCACAGGTTTCACTGTACGGATCAGTAAAGGACATACGTCGCTCTCTTCACAAGATACATGAAAATCTCTCTTTCTGCGGCCTATTCTCCAGTCTTGTATACTTTCATAGCCAATTCTTTAGCCTTGTATACTTTTAATCCCAGTTCTCCAGCCTTGTATACTCCCATACCCAGTTCTCCAACCGTGTAAACTCACATACCCAGTTCTCCAGCCTTTTATACTCCCATACCCAGTTCTCCAGCCTTGTATACTCCCATACCTAGTTCTCCAACCTTGTAAACTCACATACCCTGTTCTCCAGCCTTGTAAACTCCCATACCCAGTTCTCCAACCGTGTTAACTCCCATACCCAGTTCTCCAACCTTTTATACTCCCATACCCAGTTCTCCAACCTTGTAAACTCCCATACCCAGTTCTCCAGCCTTGTAAACTCCCATACCCAGTTCTCCAGCCTTGTAAACTCCCATACCCAGTTCTCCAGCCTTGTATACTCCCATACCCAGTTCTCCAACCGTGTATACTCACATACCCAGCCCCAACCGTGTATACTGCCATACCCAGTTCTCCAACCGTGTATACTCACATACCCAGTTCTCCAACCGTGTATACTCACGTACCCAGTTCTCCAATCGTGTATACTCCCATACCCAGTTCTCCAACCGTGTTAACTCACATACCCAGTTCTCCAACCTTGTAAACTCCCATACCCAGTTCTCCAACCTTGTAAACTCCCATACCCAGTTCTCCAGCCTTGTAAACTCCCATACCCAGTTCTCCAGCCTTGTATACTCCCATACCCAGTTCTCCAACCGCGTATACTTACATACCCAGTTCTCCAGCCTTGTATACTCCCATACCCAGTTCTCCAGCCTTGTATACTGTCATACCCATTTCTCCAGCCTTGTATACTGTCATACCCTGTTCTCCAGCCTTGTACACTGTCATAGCTATTGTCTTGTATCCATCTTGGCGGGGGTCGGCCTCTGCCTCGTTTTCCGAAAACTGCACCCTCCATCACCGTTCTCTCCAGACCACAATAGCGCTTCATCATCATCAGTCAGCAAGTCCTTTACAGAACGCCTGAAAGTATCCCTTGCCCTAGCTAGCTCTCCGTCTCCATGTGCTTTCAGTGCCAATGCATCTTCAGTGTCTTGTATCCTTCTTCGCGCATCATATGTCCAAAAACGACCCAGCTTTAGGGAGAGTTACGAGGGAAGAACCAAAACAAGAACACTCTCCAATCAGCTGTGAGCAAGTCTATAAAGGACTTAGTGTGAGAGAGTTCATGCACCCGCTTTAGGCTACGTTGACCTGGAAGCCACCTCACGACCTTTACACACACACACACGCGCGCGCGCGCACACACACACACAAATTGAGGTTCGAACCGTCACCGGACTGAGATGCCAGTCTGCTTGCAGGTGCGCTACCGCATCTTCTCTATTCCCAGTGACAATGAAGATAGTCCTAGAAAAATGGAATCACCTCCTCACTACCGACACTCATCTTCAATCTGGGCAGCATTTCCGTCTCCTCTCTCTTCTCCATCTCGCTTTCTATTTCCACCCCCTCTCTTGGCTTGCACGCTGTATCAGACGCGATATCTCCCCCTTCCGCCTCAGCCTCAGTTTCTCGCCACTATTTACCCCTCTCCATCTCCCTTTTCGCCCCTCTCCTTCCTCTCTCTCTCTCTCTCTCTCTCTCTCTCTCTCTCTCTCTCTCTCTCTCTCTCTCTCTCTCTCTCGGCTTATGCGCTGAGTCAAGAGGACGGCGAGAATCATACATATTCAGTAGAACAGGGGCAGACGGAACACGTGCTGCAAGAGTGCTCACACCTGCGGCCCCAGGTAGTAGCAGCCACTCCCACCACGCAGCTGGCACAGGGACTTCTTAGCGTCAGATCACCCTCATCGTTCAGGGAACCTCCATGGCGTGTGTGCGTGGCATCCTGATTGCTGTGGTGCGCCTCCTGGCTGGTTGCCTCTGACTTCAGCAGCTTGTTTTGCAAGGTTAGACTGTGGTCATACTCGAGGAGAGTAGGCTCATCCCTTCCTCTTTTGCCTTTACCGCTGGAGGGTTGAAACCCCAACCTTCAACCGGATTGCTGGGAAGAACAGGGTCCATGTGCACCTGTGGAAAGGTGCCCCAGACAGCAGAGCATGTACTCCAGGACTGCACCGAATTTGACACATTAAGGCAAACCTGTTGGCCAGAAAGAATAACAGTGGAACGTAAACTCTATGGACCCCTGAATGAATTAACAACAACAGTGAAATTTATACAAGAGACAAAATTGCTGATATAGACAACTTATTTCAGGCGAAAGAAAGAAGAAGAAGAAGGGAACCTCCATTATGTTATAGCCGGTACAATGCTTTCGACATTATCAATAGAATCCGTTCTTCGTTTAAGGACAAATTAAAAAGTCTAAAAACACATTCAGTTTTTTTTTACCGCTGCTTCTGTGGTTTCAGATTCAGAAGAGTGCAGCACATGTCAGCAAGTCTGCGGAGACTGAAAATGTCAACGTGGAACTCAGCAAGGAGACTCTGGACGCAATGTTAGACGGACTAGGGAAGATACGAGATCAGCTAGCTTCTGTGGCTACCAGATAGAGACTCTTGACGCGATGTTAGACGGACTAGGGAAGATACGAGATCAGCTAGCTTCTGTGGCTACCAGATAGAGACTCTTGACGCGATGTTAGACGGACTAGGGAAGATACGAGATCAGCTAGCTTCTGTGGCTACCAGATAGATAGAGACTGGAGTCTTTATGATGTCGAGATGCTCATTCTGATCCACACGCAGATGATCAGAGAGTGAGAGTGTGTGTGTGTGTGAGAGAGAAAGAGAATGTACCATAGAAAGAGACCAGGAGAGGAAAGGGGAGAGAAAGATAATAAAGAGAGACAGTACAAGACAGTGAAAGAAAGAGCGGGGATTGGGGGGGGGGGGGGGAGTAGAGAAAACCGGACACAAGAAACAAGATAGAGAGATATTGTAAGGTTGATCTTGTTCTAAGTGTCCCCTTTTTAGAAGCAGAAGCTATTAGCTTGCTTGCTACAGATCACCCACACAACCAGATTGTCATCATATGGCAGAGTGAATAAGAGGGAAGTGTTCATGCAGAAATGGTTGAACTGAAGAGACAGCCAATCAAAACTGCCAGTTTACTATCCATATTTACCACTTTTGCGATGTGAGTGGGGTATGGTCTCTGAGTCTGAGGATGGAGGGCCTGCACAGCTAGTGCTGTCGCCACTCACTGTGCAGGTTAGGATTGTATTTTTCCCCGAACGGTGATTGGTCAAGATTGTATGACATTGTTTAGGTAAAGCGGTTGTTGAGTTGATCATGTGACTTTGTTTAGATACGAAATTGTTTAGCCAAGGTTGTATGACATTGTTGAGATGAGAAATTGTTGAACCAGACTTATGCGACTGTTTAGATGTGAAATTGTTGAACCAGACTTATGCGACTGTTTAGATGTGAAATTGTTGAACCAGACTAATGCGACTGTTTAGATGTGAAATTGTTGAACCAGACTTATGCGACTGTTTAGATGTGAAATTGTTAAACCAAGATGTTATGACTTTGCTTAGATGAAATATTGTTGAACCAAAACGTATGACCCTGTTTAGGTGAAATGTTTTTTGAACAAGTACTGAATGACTGTTTATCTAGGTCTTTTGTTGCAAAGAAGGTATTCATGTAAAAAATAATAAAGAAATATAAGTAATTTATTGTGTCTAATCTGTTCCTAAGTAAGTGCGAAATGAATTGGCTGTTTACTATGGTTTTAATAGAACGTTTTATGTTTACTAGTTTGCCATTGCTTTTTGGACACATTACAGTTTCAAAATTAAAACAAATAAGTTTCTTGCTAAATCGCCTGCACACAAACTAAATCCAGTGTGTTGGAATTTAAAAACACTGCACATCTTCTACCATATAACTCTGTAAATCAGTCAGTCGCACATCTTAAAACAAATCTGTGGACCTAGAGCGGATAATGGAGAATAGCAACGAAATTTAGTCTGAAGATGAGAATCAAACAGGTTAAATCCAAGAAACCATGTTCAACAAAGGCCTTCTCTGTTAGAGACGGCTGTGGTTCAACAGCATAACAGTAAAATTAGGGCCCCCGATATAGTTTACCTGAAGTCTGGACCGAACAGGGAATGCAACTGCGATGGTTCTTAGAATATATAGAAAGAATAGCAAATTTGCGGGACATATGGAACCTCTCTTGGCAGTGGTGAAACCTTGCAAGCTAGCTTGGTTTGGGTACGTGGGGAGGCATGATTCGATTGCAAAGACTGTATTCAGGGAAAACTGGAGAAGGGGGGGGGGGGGGGGTCGAAGAAGAGGAGGGCAAAGAAGAACCTCGAATGACAACATTAAGAAATGGACAGGACTAAGTTATCATACACTTATTCATCCAGAGAAAGGTGGCGGGTTTTATGTGCTAATGTTTCCATCAATACACCTCCACGACCCGAATGGGTCAAGGGTTATGTTATGTAACAAACAGAGAAGGGGGGTGGGGGGGGGGGGGGGAACTGCGCACACAAAACAGTTGAATAGAAGCAAACCATGAATACGGTGGAGAGATATGTTAGACCGCAGAGCTACAAACAGTTGGAGTCATCAAGGGGGACGAGAAAGCAAGTCACAGAAAGGAATAGAGGCAGTATATCTGCAGCCGTTCATCTTCTTCGCGTTCACAAGCTGTAAACTCCGGCGGAAAGTTCCGGTTATTTGTCCACCTCTGGACTTAAATTTTGTTCCAGAACCTGAGTGTTGCCTGTCCATGGGTTTTACATATCTGTTTTATTTGTCTGCCGATTGTCTATCAGGCAAATGCACTCCAACTTAAGGAAGCCCCCAGTTAGTCAGCTACTACGACATGCTTGTCCAGTTGGCAATGGGTCTCTTCTCGTTTCCACCACAATGGGGCGCTGGAAACCACCCACTTGGTAAATCAGCAGCAATAAACCTCAAGAGTTGAGATTGCCGAAGAAGCCCCAGATTTCACAGCAGACGTGGAGAAAGGGAAACAACCGCCATGAATACGAATTTCAAAAGAAAAATAAATGAGTTCGTGTTTTTTTAAAAAAAGGGGCTAACCGGGGACTAATAAAATTAATACGTCAATGCTGAGGTCAAAGTTTTGTTCATGTTAACTTAATGTTCGTCTTAAGCGAGTTTGTACTAACGAGATTTTAGTGTAGTTTCTTCTTCTTCTCGTTCACCAGCTGCAAACTCTGGCGGCTGTCTACTGATCCCTGTCCCAGTGTGGGCCGAATTTATCTTTATATTAAAGCCCCATCCTGGTTGTTGCCGGGGGCCCTCCCTAATATAACCTAACGGTTGAACTGGATTTCTGGGACCTCTGCACGGGCAATCCTCATCCGAATAACGCCACCTGGTGTTTATCGCTGGGTGTGATGTCCTAGGGGGTAGTCAGTCAGTCAATCGACTCTGGCGGCAAGTTATCGTTCGTCTACTTCTGGTCTTTGGTCTTGTTCCAGAATTGGAGCTTTGCGTGCACATCATTTTTACAATCTGGCTTATTTGTACGCAGACTGTTGGTTCCTTCCTTCTCAGGTAGATGCACTCTGACTTCGAAGGAAGCACCCCTAAGTGTAAAGGACCCTTTTCCACGCCTTTAGTCGTATAGGGCATATAGGGCTGGACCTATATTTTATAGACCAATCGGCACAAGATGGGTGATGTGGTCATTATCATGCCGGCCGCCTTTACTTTCCCGGGACTAAACTCGGCACCCATTCAAGGCTGGGTTGACTTGGGAGCCAAGGTCATTTTTGAAAAAAAAGTCTGGCTCCCCCAGGGAGCGAACCCACGATCCTCAGGTGAACGTCTGGCCGCTACGCCTACTCCCCACACCCCAAATAGTAGACTATTATGACATGCTAGTTAGGGCAGCAGTGGGGTCAATTCTTTTGCCCCCACCCCCAAATGTCGCCCTGCAACCCACAAAAGGCTGGAAAGACAGTGGTAGTCCTGTTCACGTTTCCCGGCCAGTCTACACACTACCTGACCTTTCATTCAATTTTTCTCACTCTTCTACTTTGGAGGGGTGTCACGTTGTCTTTTCCTCCAGTTACATTTAGCGCCGATGTCGCGTGTTTTGTACTACAGACGACACAGCTTTCAACTACTCCAGAACATATAGAACTGGCCCTAAACCACCCCCCTCCCCCCAGCCTCAAACTAGGTCACACGAAGAAACTCTTTTAGAAGAAAGCAGTACAATGTGACACCTCTCTGACCTAGAACAGGCTAAGTAAGTGTGTAGATGGGCTGGGAAACTTGAATAGGTGCCCAGATGTTTTTGCATGTTATGACGAAATTAAAACAAGAAAGAACACACATAACGATATGACTGGGAAAAAGAGCATCACACATCATCCATCGTTTCTTGCAACTGAAAGATTTACTGACGCTAATGCTTTTATTAAGTATTTGTAACAATAAATATAACATAACACAAAAATTAAATTATTCAATATTGTGCTGTTTCCACAATGAAGGTTGGCCACAGTCAGTTTTATCTTGGCTAGACGCAACGTACACAGCACCTTTTTTTGTTTTTTAAGACATTATTTTTCAACCTTCCTCTTCCTCTTCATCGTGTTTACCAGGTGTAAACTCCAGCAGAAAGTTTTGGTTGCTTGTTCACTTCTGGACTCTAGTCCTGTTTCAGAAATTAAGTGTTGCATGCACATCTGTTTCACAAGTCCCACTCTGTTGCATGCAGACTGTTGGTTCCTTGCCTCTCAGGCAGATGCACTTCAATTCTGAAGCTCCTGATAAGTCAAAATGCTTTTGGTCAGGTAGTGGATCTATTCTGGTTTTCCCCACAGTAGTGCCCTGGAACTCACACTGGGATACAACATTAGTATAATATTCACTTTGTGCTGTCCTTTTTTCATGGTGCAACCCTTATATTACCGTCTGAAAAACATGAGAATGGCAAACCATCGTCCACTGTGGAAGCTGATCCCTAATATAATCTTACTGCAAGAGTTTTTCTTTCTGGCACAGGCCAAGAAATGCATCACAATCACTGAAACAACTGACGTTCTTCTGAAATACTTGTTCTTTACATCTTTATTACAGAATTAGTCAGCTCTGTGGCTAAGTTGATGCGAACGCTTCATAATGCCGGGATGCTGGGTTCGATCCCAGCTGCGGGCCATGCGCCTTTGCAATGGTTTCGACAGTGGTATCAAGAAAGCTGACCGCCCAGAAAGCAATGGCAAACTACTAGGACGTAAATTTGCCTAGAAAAAACCACACAACAGCCAGGGGCTGTTGGGGTTGGTTCTGCAACGTCCTGTAAAGGATACGCACCTAACCATTGCAGAATGAAATATTACAGCTATAGCACAACACACCAGACAGAAATTCCTACAAGTCTTTTTTCTACGAATCATATACCACCATACACCAGTGGGTAAGAATTACACAAATGCCAAGGGTAAGAAGCATGGACAGAGCTGACATCATCAACGCTGTATGGGCTAGACTGGGGAATAATGATGAATCACTGACGCTAACATGAGTATGTAACATTGGAGTAAAGCTTGGTGAAACACATCCATGCGGTCTTTGAGGTCAAGACAGGAGACACTATAACTCACTTCTCATGGGAACAATAAATACAGGTACCTTGGAGTGGCTGCTGTATCAGAAGACTGAGCATGCTCGCGAATGCCCAATGTGCAATGACGTCGATTGTGATAACAGCTTAACCTAAATCATATCCTGTCCTGCTTGTCCATCTTGAGAAAGTCGTCGCCCTTTTCTATTGTCCAACTGTCATGCTGACCCATGACGCTGTCAACAGCTCTAAACTCGCCAGGTCTTTCGCTGTACTTGTGCATTATTCATCACATTTAGTTCCTGTTTGTCTGCGCCACTGTCGTTCATTCATCCACAAATACTGCGGGACTGTGACAGCTTGTATCCTCCCCAACAGGCTCTTCTACACGAAGCCGCTGGCATGTTAGATGTCAGGTTTTGGTATACATTGCCAACTTAAAAATGGTTCTAATCTTTTCCCTGCATGGGTTCTGGTCCCCACTGAAGGAAAAATAGAAATAGACCCACTGCCTGCCTATCAAGTGTATAGTAAACATTGACTAATTAGGAGTTTCCTTTGAAGTAGGTGTGGATCTGCCTGAGAGGCAAAAAAACAAACAACAACCAATAGTCTGCATACAAATAAGCCAGACCTATAAAACAGATGTGAATGCAACAAGATAAAGTTCAGAAGTGGACAAATAACCAGAAGTTTCAACCAAAGTTTACATCTGGTAGATGCGAAGGAAAAGGGATAAACTAATCTCTCGTGTTTATCTCTACACATCCTTCTGTTCTCTTCTCTTCTGGTTTTCCAACAGTTTGATAAGGTCCATGTACTCTTCTGGCCACTTATATGTTTGTCTCCCCTTCATCCATTCTGGGATATGATTCTCTGTCATTTTGTCAAACAGTAAAGGAATGATTTGGGGTGTCCGAGCAGTGTCACTGGTGTTGCCATGATCGTCACTGCTGAGATGTTTGGACTTCAGGAGCTCATAGATTTCTCTTGTGTGCAGCTGGTTATCTCTCAGGTTGGATGGGCAGTCAGGTGAGATATCTTCTAAGTACTTGTTGGAGATGCACACAAGAATGAAGTCAGCCTGAGTGACAAAATAAGTAAATATTATATACGCCATATACTGACCCATGACATATGAAAAAAGTAAAGTGACAGAATAAGTAAATTGTTATATGTTGAATAATGGGAAGACAGAAGTAATGGTGATATCCAAGAAAAGAATTGTGCCTAAATGTATAATAAAAGTCAAAGGCGTTATTTAAAGGCAAGTACAGAAATTTTATTATCGAGGCACATGGATAACATCTGACAAAAGATGCATCACAGAGATAAAGAACATAATAGGACATGCTAAACAGCACTGTATAAAATGAAGAACATTTTATGCAATAAAATGTCATTGAAGGTATAGAAAAAAATTAACGCTATATAGAGCCAGTTTTAAAATATGGCTGTGAATCGTGGACAATTTATAATCAAGCCAAACAATATCTTGAGAACTCAGAGATGTGGTTGTATATAAGAATCTTTAGAATTCACTGGACTGCAAAAAAAAAAAAAAAAAAAGAGTTTTGAAAGAGGCAAGGGTTGAAGACAACTTATTACAAACATCAGACAAAGATAGTCATAATTTTGTGGTCATGTTATATGAGAAGAAGGGAACTGGAACATGTTGTGACCACTGGAAAGATTCGTGGAAAGAGAGACGGAGGAAAACAGCACTAGAAGAGTCTTTTGTCATAACACGGAGGGGTGTCAACACATGAACTTATAGACACAGTTGTAGACCGCAAACTGTGAAGAGGCATGATCGCCCAAGCCAGTCAGCAAGGCACTTGATGATGATGTGTTTATGAAAAAGGCAAAGAACCCTTTTCCTGCCAGCAGTGTATCAGGCATATGTCAGACTCATAGTTTTTATAGACCAGCTAGTTTTCAATGGGGATCACACCGACCACCTTTACTTCCCAGGACTTCACCTGGTACCTGCTTTAGGCTGGTCGACCTGGTAGGCAAGGCCATTAAAAATTTTTTTTCACCAATTAGACAATACAGATTTGAACTCAAGACCTTCAGGCTGCCAGGCCAACATGTTTTCCCATGACAGTTATCATTAGAAGACAAGAAACTGTTAGGAAAGTCATCATCATCGTCATCATCATCATCATCATCGTGCTGTACCGTTCATAAAGTGACATGAGGTTCTCAGTAAATTCCTCCATTCCATTCTACCCTATGTAATCTTTTCAATTTCATGAATTCACAGAGCATTTTGAGAAAGGTGGAGACAGACATGCTCTGTGCAGAGTGGCAAGCATCACTTCAGAGGTCCCGGGTAGTTAGCATCATTTGGATATTTTCTCTAGGTCATGCTGGTGTGTTGGGTAATGAGCAGGCAGATAGACTGGTCAATTCTGCACCACTTGGTGGTGTTGATGTTGTGAGGGCCTTTTGAGAGCGAGCTAGTGAACAGTGCAGAGTCAAAGAAAAATTCTTACAGTCAGAGGAGAATGGCGATGTGAGAAGATACCAGGGGATCTGATCGATGCTCAACTCTCAAGGGAAAGGTGAGACGGATATACAATCAGACAGTTAGTGGTACCACTGGAATTGGAACTCTTCGCTTGCTGCTGAAGATGGAGACGGAGCGCTTTTGTGAGTGTACCGAGTGCTATGATATTGAATCTTAATTCAACATTGCTCAATTAGAGGTTGAAAGATGAGAATGCAAAGAAGAATTAAACAGTAACCTTACCTCTGCTATCCTTTGACTATAAGACTTCAGGAAGCTGCCCTTTTTGCTTGCATCCACATGGCAAGAAAACCCATTGTGTCGCATAAACCAGCATAGTGAGACTACATCTCTGACATGCAGGTTATTGTCTTGGCTGCAGGTGACAAACAGTTTACTGTTCTGCAATACTGATTCAAGCAGAACAAAGAAATGAGAAAATGTAAATTATTCCCTCAAAGATAACACACAAAACTCAACCCTTCTACTTCTTCTCCACCTTCAGTTACTTCATCGAAGTGTTTGGGGGAAGATGCATGGAACTTCTGTGAGCTCTTACCAATGCGGTTATAAGGTGATTGCATTTCTTTAGGTCTGCTCTTGATGCTATCGTTCCATCCTTGTATGTGGTCTTCCCAGTTTTCTGTGATCATTATATTTCTTCACGGTGGCTTTACGTGGCAGCTGGTACTAGGGCATTCTGGTCTTTACGTGGCAGCTGGTACTAGGGCATTCTGGTCTTTATGTGGCAGCTGGTACTAGGGCATTCTGGTCTTTATGTGGCAGCTGGTACTAGGGCATTCTAGTCTTTATGTGGCAGCTGGTACTAGGGCATTCTGGTCTTTATGTGGCAGCTGGTACTAGGGCATTCTGGTCTTTATGTGGCAGCTGGTACTAAGGCATTCTGGTAGGACCATCTCATCTGTTCCTCTGTTTTTATTTATTAATTGATTTCAGTCCTAGTCTTACCCTGTGTGGGTTCGGGGCCCTATTATAGGGAAAACAAGAATAGACCCACTGCCTACCCAAAAGCATGTCGTAAGAGTCCACTAACTGGGAGCTTCTTTCAAAGTCGGAGTGCATATGCCAGAGAGGCAAGGAACCAGCAGTCTGCATACAAATGAGTCAAATCTCTAGAACAGATGCACACGCAACACTCAGGTTCTGGAACAGGACTGCAGTCCAAAAGTGGATGAACAACCAGAACTTTCCGCCAGAGTTTACAGCTGGTGAATGTGAAGAAGAAGAAGAAGTCTTAGTCTTAGTCTAACTCACACAAAGAAAACACGGGTCCATACATTTATGGAATCAGCACCAAATCTACCACTGTCAAGTCAGTACTTCCCCCTGGCCCTATTGTGGGGGAAATGAAAAGACCAATTGCCGCTCTAACAAGCATGTTGTAAAAGTCGACTAATTAGGGAGATTTCCTGCAAAATCAGAGTGCATCGGCCTGAGAGGCAAGAAACCAACAGCCCACATATAACTTAGGTATTTCTGTAAAACAGATATGCACACAAAACTCCAGTTCTGGAAGAAGACCAAAGTCCAGAAATGGATGAGCAACCAGAACTTTCTGCCAGAGTTTACAGCCAGTGAAGACGAAGAAGAAAAATAAGAAGAAATCAGTATCGTTGTATAGAGCGGAAACCTGGAGAACAACCAAAACAGTTCTAGTAAATTACAAACATTCATTTAAACAGTTACTAGTAAATTACAAACATTCATTAACTGGTGCCTGCACAGAACAGAGGGAATTACATGTTATAATAGAATCAATAATGTTGAACTTTAGGAGACAAATAAACACATTCCAGTTTTCAGTGCAGGTTCTGCACCCCACTTCTGCAAGTGTTTAATGCCAGTGAATGCTAAGAAGAAGAAGAAAAAGAAGAAATTCCCAAAGGATCAAAAGGTGAAGAGAAGACAGTCACTTTGGATAGGACAGTTGTGAAAACCTGAGAAGAGTACACCTAGATGGACTTCGCAGTGAAAACTACGGAAGCACAGTAATAAAGAGGGCCCAGGAAACTAGAGAGTGAACTAATTCTCCCTCCCATCAGAATGAATGGGGAGGAGGAGCTCTGTAGATGACAGCAAAGGATAGGTTATCATAGTGTAAGTTGATGTTGAGAGCCTATGCTCCATTGGGGGATAAAGGACAGAAGCAGAAGACAAAATACACCCAAAAAAATGCCTCGTCTTGGAGAAGGATTGTTTTATTCTTCCTCCTCTTCATTGATCTTTCTGTCAGAATACTTGCATTATTACGCTAGAAAAGGACCAGTGACACTTTGGGCAGTCTTTGCCAGTGACACATTGGGCATATGATACTTGACTTCCAATGAAATTCCCTTGTACTGATTTTAGGCTGGGTCGACATGGGAACCAAAGTCAAAGTTGAAAAACATCCAATTTGATGCACGTCTGAACCTAAGACAATTGGGCTGGTAGGTAGTAGTGGTCTAGCCACTACGCAGCCATGGGTCCCCAGGAGGTCAGTTGTTGTTGGCAGCTTTCCGTCTTTCCAAGCGATAGTGTTATATTGTGCTGTAAGGAGTCATGGCACTCGCAGCTCAATATGATGGCAAGTGTGACTAACAAGTCCCGCCATTTTGAGAAAAGTTTTCCACAATTAGTCCTTGGGTTTCTGGACTGTTGTTGCCATCATATCTATTTAGTGTGCTTTTTCTAGGATGCCCAGCTCTCAGTCTTTCTGCAGTCTTCCTTTATTCCTTTTCGCTTCCTGATTCCCCCCAACCCTTTTTTTTTTCATAAATAAAGTCCATGAGATTTTGTTCCTAGAAATCTACCTCAATATTTGTATCTTTCATGTCCCATTTGCACACATTTTATATCATAGTAGAAGCCATCCTCAGCATCTTCTTTCCATCTGTAGTTAGCACCATAGAGAATATCCTTAGGGACTCTACAATCCTCCATTCTTCAGGTGTGACCCGGCCACCTGAGACTTTGTAAATTGAACATTGAGAAAACTGTTATGATACCTGCTCTTTCTGTTACCTCAGTGTTTCTGACCTTGTCTTGCCACTTAATGGCGAACATTCTTCTTAGGAATTGCATGTGAAAGCTATTTCCTTTTTTTTTTCCTGGTACAGATAAATTGACGAAGTTTCACTGCCATAAAGAACAGTGCTGAGAACAGAAGCCCGACAGACAAAGAGTTTTTGATTGAATCGTGAGCTTTCAATTTTAGTTTAATCATGAGCCACTGGTTCCTTGGAGTTCAGAGCCTTGGTAAGGACTATTATCATCATCATTAAGTGCCTTGCCAGCTGGCGTAGGCGTTCATGCAACTCCACAGATCTCCCTCTTTGTTCTGGATCGATTCCACTGATGATATTCCTCCATGCCACTGTCTTAAGCCATCAACCATAATTTCTCTTGGTCTGCCTCTGCCTCTTCTACCAGTGATCTTTCCAGGTGTCACAATATTTTCCAGTGCTCCTTTTCTCATTACAGGACCAAAGAGTTTTGTTTTCTCCTTCTCACTGTTGTATATAATGTTCTATCTTCTTTAGCCATTTTCAAGCAATCATTGTTAGTTATTCTGGCAGTCCAAGGTATTTGGAGCAGAGTTCTCAAGAACCACATCTCAGTTGCCTCAAAACTCTTCCTAATATAATTACATCCACTATGTCTACACACTAGACAACTGTAACCAATACCAAAGATGTCATTCAGGCATAGTAACCACTGCCCAAAGACATCATGGCATAAAAGAATTGAAAAAAACACGACAAGCCTAGACATCAGCATTTGTGGGGTGACAAGAGTTAAAAGAGTAGTTGGAATGTTGTGTTGTTTTATGGGATGACCAGAGTTAGAATAGTAGTTGGAATGTTGTGTTGTTTTATGGGTCAACAGAGTTTAAAGAGTAATTGGAATGTTGTGTTGTTTTATGGGACAACAGAGTTAAAAGAGTAATTGGAATGTTGTGTTGTTTTATGGGGCGACAGAGTTAAAAGAGTAGTTGGAATGTTGTGTTGTTTTATGGGTCGACAGAGTTTAAAGAGTAATTGGAATGTTGTGTTGTTTTATGGGGCAACAGAGTTAAAAGAGTAGTTGGAATGTTGTGTTGTTTTATGAGTCGACAGAGTTTAAAGAGTAATTGGAATGTTGTGTTGTTTTATGGGGCAACAGAGTTAAAAGAGTAGTTGGAATGTTGTGTTGTTTTATGAGTCGACAGAGTTTAAAGAGTAATTGGAATGTTGTGTTGTTTTATAGGGCAACAGAGTTAAAAGAGTAGTTGGAATGTTGTGTTGTTTTATGGGTCGACAGAGTTTAAAGAGTAATTGGAATGTTGTGTTGTTTTATGGGGCGACAGAGTTAAAAGAGTAGTTGGAATGTTGTGTTGTTTTATGGGTCGACAGAGTTTAAAGAGTAATTGGAATGTCGTGTTGTTTTATGGGGCAACAGAGTTAAAAGAGTAGTTGGAATGTTGTGTTGTTTTATGGGTCGACAGAGTTTAAAGAGTAATTGGAATGTTGTGTTGTTTTATGGGGCGACAGAGTGAAAAGAGTAGTTGGAATGTTGTGTTGTTTTATGGGTCGACAGAGTTAAAAGAGTAATTGGAATGTTGTGCTGCTTTATGGGGCAACAGAGTTAAAAGAGTAGTTTGAATGTTGTGTTGTTTTATGGGTCGACAGAGTTTAAAGAGTAATTGGAATGTTGTGTTGTTTTATGGGGCAACAGAGTTAAAAGAGTAGTTGGAATGTTGTGTTGTTTTATGGGTCGACAGAGTTTAAAGAGTAATTGGAATGTTGTGTTGTTTTATGGGTCGACAGAGTTTAAAGAGTAATTGGAATGTCGTGTTGTTTTATGGGGCAACAGAGTTAAAAGAGTAGTTGGAATGTTGTGTTGTTTTATGGGTCGACAGAGTTTAAAGAGTAATTGGAATGTTGTGTTGTTTTATGGGGTGACAGAGTTAAAAGAGTAGTTGGAATGTTGTGTTGTTTTATGGGTCGACAGAGTTTAAAGAGTAATTGGAATGTTGTGTTGTTTTATGGGGCAACAGAGTTAAAAGAGTAGTTGGAATGTTGTGTTGTTTTATGGGGCGAAAGAGTTAAAAGAATAATTGGAATGCTGTTATGTTTTATGGGACAACAGAGTTAAAAAAGTAGTTGGAATGTTGTGTTGTTTTATGGGTCGACAGAGTTTAAAGAGTAATTGGAATGTTGTGTTGTTTTATGGGGCAACAGAGTTAAAAGAGTAGTTGGAATGTTGTGTTGTTTTATGGGTCGACAGAGTTTAAAAGAGTAATTGGAATGTTGTGTTGTTTTATGGGGCGACAGATTTAAAAGAGTAGTTGGAATGTTGTGTTTTTTTATGGGGCGAAAGAGTTAAAAGAAAAATTGGAATGCTGTTATGTTTTATGGGGCAACAGAGT